CTCTGCTTAGTGCTAACCTCTTCACGCCAAAAAAATTCTCAAGTTGATTTTCTGCGTTTTTCAGTTTTAAATTTTGTAAATTGGGTACTTGAGGGTAAAAAGGCCGTTTTTCAATTTGGGTTTAAGGTTTCGTTGATGAAACAAGAATCAACGGATAACTCTAACGCTGCTGACTACGTGTGATAGGAAAGATCGAGTTGGTAATGGTAAAGTTAGGGTTAGGGTTTGTTAGTTTTCTAGCGTTGGACTTTATTCTCATGACTTTAATTTCCTCCGCCCATATTTTGTTTCGTGAAACAAAGATCGGGTTCGTATCTTGATTATCGTGTCGCCGGTGATGTTAGTCGAGTTTGACCTTCACGGTGAAGGCTGCAATTGGAGGCCGGTGATAGTTGGTTGCTTTCTTGCTTGTTTTATGGGTTTACTTGTTTTTCTCGGTTTATTTTTAGTTTTTCCGACTTTAATGGGTCTTTGCTTTGAGTTTGATGTTCTTGGATGCGACTCTCTTTGTTCTAATTAGGGTTTGTCAAGTTTATTTGGGGATTTAAAGCGGTGTGTCCTGCTCCTGCTTAGAATTTTGGATATGCGAGTTTTGGTTTTGTGGGGAATTCACCATTGTTATGGTATGGTTCGGTTCATAGGGTTGGTTAGGGTTTGTCGTTTGTTTGTTGTTTTCTCTTTCATTTTTCTCAGTCGAAATAGTTTCAGAAGGTTATCCCTTGATGTCTTCTGTTTTAACTTAGTAGTGGATTTTCAATCTATTACTTTGAAATATACCTATCTTAACACTGCTCCCCAAAATGAAACGTTTATGGGCCTTCGAAATAATATTTTGGAGGTTTATAGTATGTGAGTATGTCAATGGTCTCTTTCCTTGAGAAAGGATCAATGGTACCCACAATTAAGGGTATCGAATCTCTTGAATGGGTGATTCAACGTGTGTTGGTAAGCTCTAACCGCTTTGTTTTCCTGCCCCATTTACTTAATGTTATGGGCACTTGGTGTCCTTTTCAGCTCGTTAATATGTTTGCTAGAATTTGTTTGTTTCGTCGTCCTCAAATGCATTCTCCACGTTCAAAGGAAATCGGAATACATAAATAGAATGGTGTGTTCCTCATCGTGGCAAATTATTCAAACTAGCAAGATCAAATGTGAAAGTACTTTAATTTAATGTATTCTCGTTGTAATATAGGAGCTAGTAAGACTTGTAGTTTGTAATACTTTTATATTAATTTAAACCGTCGTTAAAAAAAATAAAAAAATACGAAGTATGAAAATGATAGCTCAAACTTGTAGATTGACCAAGTTAAGAATTTTAGATGGCCATTCACACGAATCCACTCAATTGCATGTGAAAAGAAACCATAAAAACCATCTAATCATGTGGCTAGTACCACATTTTTTTGCACATTCATGTGAAGCTCTCGTGCCAACAAAACATTTATCGACTACTTCCAAGGTAATTTACTTTGTTCCAAACACATTTGCAACACTTGACTTTTTAGCTTATTATATCATGTTAGATGACTAGTTCAATGAAAAATATATTGTTAAAATTCAAAATTGGTTATAATCAATCATTTTGACTTTGTAAACTATTCGCATGATTTACTTTCACTTTAATTTATGAGTTATTTTTAAAAGAACATAATTATCTATTCCGTAATTTCGTTATTTCGTCTCAATATCTATTTTTCTAGGGTTTCAATTTTAATAATTTTACTTATTAATAACTGAAGATATTAATACTTGAAATTATATGCTCTTCTAAGTAGAATGTTGTGATTGTGAAAGTAAAACCAACTACTATTACAAAGCACATACAAAAATATTTCTAGAGATCCTCTCTATTGTGAAGTGAAATTCTTAAACTAATACAAAGTACACAATTAATACAAAGACTCGCGATTTATAACCACTAAAAGTATAAAAATTAAGAATCGTTAATTCATTATTGTAGAAGAAAGGATTTTGTTTTCCTAATTTCCATTGGATACAACTTCCCCAAAATACACATTTCAAAAGTACTTTGTATATAATGTAGAAGAATAATCAAGTATATATTGATTAGCTTAATGTTTACATTATACAAAGTATGTATATATACAATTTATGACAGCTAACCTAGAGAATTATACGTTAAACTTGGATAAATAAGGAATAATAAAGATAATAAAGAATAATTTCCTATAATTATGCTCAACTAACTTGACTTGTTAGTCTTATCTTCAACATTTCCCAGCAAGATGGACGGTCGAACGACGAGACCAATCTTGGCATTAAGTAACTCAAATTGTGTACGAGATAGTGGCTTAGTAAGAGCATCAAGCAAGTTGATCTTTGGTTGAGATGTAAGACACCCGCAAGATCCCTTTTTGAACACTTTCACTGACAAAATGATAATCTAGAGCAAGGTGCTTCATTTTCTAATGGAACTTGGGATTGGAAGCCACATAAGTTGCCCCCATGTTATCACAAAAAAATAGTAGGCAAATGCAATGAATTAAGAACAAGCTCAGTTAGCAAGTTGATTACCCAAAGAACCTCAGCAGTAGTAGACGTAAGGGCTCGATATTCAGCTTCAGTTGAAGAACGAGCAAGTGTTCTTTGCTTGTTAGAACTCCAACAAATAGGATTTTTGCCAAGATAAACAAGTAGCCCATAGTGGAGACATAATCATCTCGATTCCCTGCCAAATCAGCATTTATAAAATGCGTGCAAGGACAAAGGGGAGTTGTGATGAAAGAGTATGCCCTTGTGGAGAGAGCCCGCAAGATCAGATAACGAAGTAGTCGCTTCAAGGCATTGTAATGTTCATCAGTTGGCTTGTGCATATATTGTGAAAGACGATTAACACAAAAGGAATCGTCCGGCCGAGTAAGAGACAAGTATTGAAAACTGCCAAGAATAGTCATGTACTCGGTTGGATTAGCTAAAAGGCGACTTTAGTCTAAGCTTAGAGAATGAGCTGTAGACATAGGTGTTGGAGAAAGCTTAGCTTCATGCATATTTGTCTTTTCCAGAACATCAAGTATATATTTTTGTTGGCTGAGAAAGAGACCATGAGAGTGAGGAGTAACCTCCACTCCTAGAAAATATGACAAGTTCCCCAAATCTTTCAAGGAGAAACGGGTGGCAAGTGAAGAGATGAAGTTAGCCACTATGTCATTATCAGAACCCGTCACAATTATATCTTCAACATATACTAAGACATAGATAACCTGTTGATGTTGTCGGAGGATGAAGAGAGAGGAGTCAGACACGGTATTTACAAAACCGCAACTTAATAAATATGCCCGAAGCTAGTTGTACTAAGCCCTTAGTGCTTGCTTAAGACCATAAATAGCTTTACAAAATTTGCAAATGTGATTTGGTTTATCATTATCAATGAACCCCAGGTGGCTGCATCATATAAACGTCCTCTTGCAATGAACCTTGTAGAAAGCATTGTTTATATCAAGCTGACGAAGAAACCAACCACGAGTGACGGCAAGACTAAGGATGATACGAATAGTAGGAGCCTTTACCACGGGGCTGAAAGTCTCAGAGTAATCTAGCCAAGGTCCTTGATGAAATCCCTTTGCAACAAGACGAGCCTTGAGCTTATCAACAGTGCCATCGGGTTTATACTTTGTTCGGAATACCCACTTGCACCCAATGAGATTAATTGATGAAGAAGGGGGAACCAAGACTCAAGTTTCATTTTTAATCAAGGCATCATACTCTGCCCTCATTGCACAAGTCCATGAAGGACTCTTAAGCGCTTGGGCTCACGAAGACAGAAGCCAAAAGTAAATTTGCTTGGTATTTGGGGTTAGGCTTATGAATATTATTCTTAGCACGAGTGATTATTGTGCTTGTAGGTTGAACAATGGGCATGGTAGTCGATGTAGGAGAGCCTGATGATATAGAAGCATCTTCAGATGATAAAGTATTAAAAGAGGATGATGTTGTTGAAGGACTATCATTTGGCAATATTATAGGGGGTTGACTTGGTTCATTTCCCAACAACTGGCACAATAATAGGAATATTCACTTCATCACTTTGAGTAGCAATCTGAGATGGCGGCTCAATAATAGGAATATGGGGAAATTGTTGACGAAACACCGAGCATTGAGACACAAAATGACCAGACGACGCCATTGACACTTCCCATGATAAGGTTTAAATGGTGGCTTGTCATTTGAAGGTTGCATAGACGTGTGAGAAGAGTGCCCACCGTATGTCTTCTTTGCCCCTTGCTTGTAAACATGATTGACAGAAGCAGGATGAGAAAGGGTAGCAGCTTGAGATTGTTGGTGGTGTAAAATATACGCCTCCCTATTCACAAGCTTCTCATTAAGTTCATCAAAAGTGATGCCCGATTCACGACTCTGAACATCAGAAATAACCTGATCATAATCAAGATCATTAAGTTGTTCAAGAATACGCTCCACAATATCATCATCATCCATAGGCTTGCCTAGAGAGGCTAATTGGTCAGCACATGTCTTAATGTCATACATAAACTCGGTGATAGACCGAGGACCATTTGTGATGTTGCGAAGGCGTTCCTTGATTTGTTTGATGTGCCCCTTTGAGGGGTTAGCATAGGTCTTAGCAAGAAGCAACCAAGCTTCACGAGAGATAGGAGGAACAAGAGAGCCACTAAGGGTGCCACATAAAGCCCCATGGATAAGTTTGTCCTGCCTAAACCAGGTGGTATAGTAGGATTTGGAGTGGTGATATCACCAGTTGGAGAAGGAACAACAAGAGTTCCATCAATATACTGAGAAAGGCCATAGCCAATTAAGGTAGCCTCTAATTGTGTTTTCCAAGAAATATAATTAGATGAAGTAAGCTTAATGATATGATTAAGCGAGATAATACAGAGACTAATTGGAATAATGGACTAATTGGAATTTGCCATGAAAATAAATAAATAAATTTGTGTAGCAGTGGAAATACAGAGACAAAAATCGAGAAGATGAATATTTTCAAAGCTCTGATACTATGTAGAAGAATAATAAAGTGTATATCGATTAGCTTAATGTTTACATTATACAAAGTATGTATATATATATATATATATAAGTTATAACAACTAACCTAGAGAACTATACGTTAAACTTAGATAAATAAGGAATAATAAAGAATAATCTCCTATAATTATGCTCTTGGCTTAGTAGTCTTATCTTCAAGATATAACACATGTACCATCTCTGACTAGCTATTTTATTTTTTAGATATGTAGTCAACTTTGTTTTGTACATTCAAAAACCAAAACTGTTAACAAGGGAAAATATCTCCAAAAACTTCAATTAACATTTAATCTAAACCTTAATTAAACAAGTTCTAATCCCATTCCACATACTACTTGATCATCATTAACCTTCCGGCTCATTGACTCGGCCAACCGAACCCGAGCGTCAGCTCGAGTTCCACCTCACCGTCATCGTCACCATCGTGTCTGACACTCCCCCTCTCCACCACCACCTCCTCCGCAGCATCGACCATCACATCGGTCGATACCAAGCTCGTGTGCGTGGTACTCCCGGGGTCATCCGGGTGGCTCACGGTGGAGTCATGGCTCGTGCTTGACCCGTTAAACTCGGCCGAGTCAGGCCGAGTTGACTCAGCCACCGCCATCACCTGAAGAGCCGAGGTAGCAGCACCACCAGCTGCAGACTCGGCTTTAGAAGCCGGCTTGGACTTGGAGCCGACACGCTTGAACCGAGTCCGAGTCGGCTTGACTCGGTGCAACCCAGCCGCAGCCGAGCTGTTGTTGGAGTGGGCGTGCTCATCTTTTGACACGTGGCGGATGTCGTAAGCCCCTTGGATAGGCGGGGAGTTAGGCGCGGCTTCAGTAGGAATCGGCGTAATCGGTGCGCCTTTTAAAACGGCTTCAATGGCTGTTTGACAAAGCTGCCATTGACCTGACCAAAGCAACCCAACTGAACCATAAATTGGGTTTACCATTCGACCACATGCTTCGTATAAGAGTGACCTGAATATTGCTGAAATCATAAAACAAAACATATAATCAGCATATAGGTAATTAATTGAGTAATAATTGAATTAACTTCAGAAAGAAGTTTAATTAGTTAAAGCACAGCCTTCCAACAACAACTTGACCCACTTGAACAAAAATAGTAACGTGGCAACCAAAACCAACTATCCACCTAAAACCTAGGGACTATACCACTTTCCACTATTAGAATACCACTAGATATTTTTCTATTCATTTTAATTAAAAATTTGAAATTATATCACGCATATCATAAGCTATTCAATAAGCACATGCAAAGGGTAGATGACTAATTGCACGATGCATTATTGATAAAGATTATAAAATCATCAATCTAATAATGATATTCGATTTTTCCTCGCCTCTACTTTGACTTTTTTTTTTTTTTTTTTTTTTCCGGAAGAATAAAAAATAAAGAGTGAAAGACTAACCAGGACGAAGGTGGTCAGGACCAGCGTTGATGAGGTTCATGAGACCAGCGCGACCATAAAACTTAGCAAGGAAAACGGTGGCATTAGCTTGAGACTCAGGGGACTTAATCCACTGAAGACAAGGTCTAATGCTACAATCCTCGCTACAGCCTTTCCGTAGCACTCGACATCCGTTACAGCTCATCCGCATTCTTACAAAATTAATTATAAATGACTATTCGAAAACACGATATCGATCTATTTGAAATACAGAGAATAGAGGAGAGAATGGGTTATTAAGAAGGTGTATGAAGAGTGAAAAGAGAAGAATGTATGATGATACATAAATGAATGAATTGAAGAAGAGGAAAATAAAATTGTTGGAAAGAGGAGAGAGAAAATAATAATAGTAGTTGCTGGTTTCAGGAGCCGCAGCTGTTTCCCAAAAACTGGTAAAGTGAGGGAGTGTGGTCTTTGCCTTTTTAGGGGGCGTGTTATTTTATTATTATTTTTTTAATTAATAATAATTAAAAAGTTTCCAGAAAATGGGAAGAGGGGAGATGAACCTATTTTGTCATTTTTGTCATACTAATAAAATTAATTAAAATTTGGTACGATATTAATTTGTGTCACTCTCTATACAAAGAGAGTGAATTATTCTTTCCAATTTCAAAATTCCAACTCTTTTGGGGAGTTTTTTTTTTTTTTTTTCTTGAGGAAAGAGTTTAATTTTAGTTTAGTCATTTTTTTTAGCCTGTTGGATTACAAAAGCTGTGGGCGAAAACTATTTGATTAATTTATTGAGTGTTATACTAAGGAGATTAGTCTTTTATGGTTTCGTTAAGTCGTACATACCCGTGTATTTTTATACTAATGAAAAACGTTTCTTAATTATAGAGGAGTACGGTATGGTTGATATTTATATGGTTTTTTCTAAGGCTACGGTAGAGAATATATTCCAATTATGTGATACAAAGTACTGCGTATTATATTCACAAGTTGTCATATGTTATTACTTGTAGTAGATAGAAAAAATGCATTTGTTAAGGTTATATTTCATGTATTACTCCCATGCACTTAGCATTAACCAAAGTAATCAAAAGCCTATGTGCTAGAATTGCGAGTCCTCCATAACCCCATTGAACTAACTTAAAGGACTAGTAAAGGAAGCCTTAATTAGTTAATTGAAATAAATTAGTCTTCCCGAAAAAAGGGATGATGAGCAAATTAAAAAGAAATTGTTTCCAACAAATGCAAATTAAACAAAATGAACTTAGCATTGGATTTATAAGTTGGATTAAATGATGTTGTTGTTGTCGGTGCTGAACTACAAAAAATCTCTCGTCCCTAAATATAATCTATTACTAATTATCTTAAAGTTCTTTAGGTAACAAAAATGTTGATGTTCATGAAAATTGCTTTTGCAATTGTTCATCTTAAATTAATTGAAAGTGTTATCGATCTCAATCGTTGTGCCCGATAAACGATTAAGTAGTATTGAGCAAATCAGCAAAATATGCTTAAAAAACAACTTCCATGCACATTCTAATTTGGATAATCTATGCTTGTTCAACGAGATAAGGGTTGGAGAGTTGGAGCTTGGACATATATATCTTTTTGAAATTCAAAAATATACTCACATATAGATCAGACATACTCGAATTATACTAGTCGTACTAGTAGTTTTGAACGAATTAAATTCACAAACAGTACAAAAACAAAAATAGAGTGTACATAGAAAATAGAAAAAGGGCTACAAGTTTCAATTTCTGCAGCCTTCATAGTCTAAATGCACTAAACTTTAAAAGGATTGCAATCCATCCAGCTATACTTGGCCTGGAACTTTGGAAGCCTAATACTCCACATCCATTCGTATCACCATATCTCGACGCATACTCTGTTCTCTAACTTTGCAAAATTCGAATCTTATGTCTTTACTCTTTATAATCCATTAAGGCTCTATTTTTTTGAGCAGATTTTAATATAGTGAAGTAGGTGTCATTATGTCAGCAAAGCAGAGCAAAATAGATTATTAATATTCAGTACAGCAGATTTTACCACATCAGAACTGCTCAAAAGAACAAGGTCTAAGTTAATATTGTGAAATTGTAAATCGAGACGAATCTAACAAGATTTCACGTGATTATGTTTTTTTAATAAATAAGCTACAAGATCATTTCATTAGGATAATTGCAAATCTTTAATACTTATATATGATGAATTATGTGTACTCCGTAACTCTTTGTGTTCTATTCATTTTATTTTCTTTGTTGTATATCAAAATTGAGGAGTGCTTCTTATCTATACTTATCAAAACTTAGGTAAATTATATAAGTAGTTAAAAATGAAAAAAACAAAACATTAATTACACTGATTTACATGTAATTTTGTCATGCAATTCTAAATTAATACCATATTAGGAAAGATATTTCAGAGTAAATGTTTATTTTTAGCTTTTAAGGATACATATAGCATTACTCAGCCCTGTTCTTTAGGGGTGCTCTGCTCTGTTGAAATCTGCTCTACTCTACAGACACTTACTAAGCTCAAAAGAACAGGGTCTTACTCGTACTACGTATCTTATTGAAATATAATTATAAAATAAATGAAAAACGATATGTTAAAAAATAAAAGGAAAAAAAAGTGAAAATTGTGGAAATGGCATGGAAGACACGTAGCAAAAGAAGAAAGAAAATAGCCATTTGGTAAAAATTGCAGTCGAGAGCCATGCAAGTGAGTCCAAATAACCACGAGACAGCGCGTGAAGAACACGTGTAAATGTCAGAGTGCGGTCGAATCGCCACATAAGGTGGGAAAACTGGTGAGGGCCCACTATTCCACGTCTCCAGCTCCTGGTTTTCGGGAAACCATAAAATTAAATTATATCTCTTGCTCCCTTATTTTTTGCCTTATTGTAATTTTATTGGTCAAATTTATAAAACTTTGATTATAAATTCTCGATAATTTAATTGATAATATATTGTGTAGTTTTGTTAGAATTATCTCATTTTATATTTTATTAATATCAAACTTTTATAATATTTATACGTATAAAAATTAAAATATGTACGTTTGAACACGCGAAGACCGTGAAAAAAAAATTAAATGGCAGGGAGTAAACAAATTTCCCATATTTCTGGTAAAACCTTACAAAACCGGCGACTGGTTTCTGGTTTTGGTTTTAGAGGATTGTGGACTGTGGGCGCCCAATTAGAGGTACTTAAATTTCATTATTATTAGAGGTGGGGTCCAATTAAGTGGTTTTTAATTAGTTATATCCTGTTTAATTAGTAGGGCGGTCGTCTAAATTTGGTGATTATGAGTTAATCCCACAAGATTGGGACCCATAATAAAATAAAATCAACTTGACTTTATTGTATAAAACAAATTGATTGTTTCAAAGTTAATTTTACTGAATTGAATAGTTTGGGTTAAGAAGGAGACATACCTGGTTTTGAAAAGGGAGTGTTTAAATATTACGAGTACAAACTTTAATTTGTGAAAGAAATATAGTGTGATCTAATATTGGTTCCATCACCTTGGATTTCGGTTTGACATGTTAGATTTTGCCATTACTTTAACTTTATATGTTTTCATGTTCTTCTATACAACCCTACCCTCCGCATATTTTTAGCGTCCAAGTGGCATTTCTTGTATTTTTTTTTAAATACGTGTACCATTACCTTCGTCCCCTTTTGTTATTCCAAATATAGATGTCTTGGTTTGACCGGTATATTTATTAATGATAATAATAAACTACTAGTTTAATAAGTTGATATTTGATAATTAATTTAACGAGTATTTTCATGACTATATTTACCTTTATGTATAATGCATAAACGGAAGTCAAATTGATTTGTGTGAATAATGCAAAAGTCAAATTAAACATTTATTTTGAAATTGAGGGAGTATAATCCCGATTATTGATTGGCATATTTAAGGTGGTATAGTTTTGTATCGTTTTAATTTTATGAAATGCCTCCACAAAATATATGATGTAATTAATGGTTATTTAGGCCTTGTTTTTTTGAACTTCTGGCAGAACAGAGCAGAACATCTCTAAAGAACAGGGATCGGTGGTATCCAGTAGAACAAGTCTAAAATTTTAGATGATGCACAATGGGTTTTTTGAAGAGTAAGATTGTGAAAGTCAAGGTAGAAATTAAACTGAAAAAGGAAGACCTATGAATCTATGATTTAGTTTCAAGAAATCAAGAGAATTGTTACCTCATTGCCAAAAATAAAAAAAATAAAAAATATTAAATTGATACTCGTATTAATAAAATAAGTATACAATAAGATGAATAATCCAACAAAATCCCTCAAAAATATGTTATCTATTATATTATAAATCAATGACAATTAATGGTCAAAATTTTAAGAGTTTTGCCTAAATATTGACAATGAGGCACAAAATTTAGGGCTAGAGGGAGTAGTATATATTAAATACTTTATTGGACCAAAACATATATGAGTAAATATATTACATGCATGAAACCCACAGATTGAGATTGTTGTGTTAAGTATATGAGTTATGACTGCTGGCTATGCATAATCGACATGCGGTTAGGTTGTTGGAGACTCGTAGTTTTTGACTCGGGTGACTCAATTTTCGAACTACCCTGTATTAAAACATACCGTACCAAAAACTATCATATTTAAAAAGTAAAAGCTATGATATCATTTTTTGTTAAAAATTAAATTTAAAATAAATTGGGAATGCATAATTGATATTACAAAATACAAATGTTTGATATATGCGCAATATTAACATTTTCGTATTTAAATGTTACGGAGTAATTAGTTAAAATAAGGGGTGATGCCAATTTGGGAAGTCGGATAAAATAAAATAATGAAACTTTAAACTGAGGTGATAATTAGAGATATAAATCCAAAAATTGGTGGAAAATGACGAATTGCAACACTGGAGTAGCAACCAAAAAACGTAAATTGGCATTTATCTTATTAGGCTACGAGTCTATGACATACAATGGACGCCTAATCAATTATGAAAACTAAAATTAAAGTAAACACTATAGGTATAAATGACTATTTGATTTTTCATTTTATAACAACAAAATAGATACTACTTCTTTTTCTTTTTATTTGCAACAAATAAGTTTTTTATGTCTCGTATAAAATACCCCTTTGTTACAAATAAAAAGAAAAAGATGTACGGAGGAGTAGCTTACGCTTTTATTAATTCGAAAAAAACAAAATGTTACTTAGTGGGTCTAGTGATACTGATAATTGGCATTATTGTAAGATCTTAGAAGCGTATATTATGTATTTATCATTTATGTGTACCTTCTGTCAAATAATGTGGAAGTATGTACAACATGATTACTAGTATTTGTACAAAGGTATAATAATTTGACCAGTATCGTTCTTTGTCTGATGTAAAATTATACTAGGAAATGAGTTGAACATTTTCCCTTGTGAGAAGAGCTTTCTAATGATTATTTTCCTTACCTTTATAAGTTAAATAAAAAAAATAGAGTTAAATGCACAAATTAGAAAAGGGAGAAGGCGTGGAATGGACAACCTGAAGTCCTGAACCACGAGATTACGTAAAAGACTGAAAGAAAGAGCAAATCAAGCAAACAAGTCTTTATTGGGCATACAAGAAAGCAGTTTCCAATGGCATAATTGTTCAAATTTAGAAATACGGTAATTATTGATATGAAAATTTTAAAGAAAATTGTCTTGCAACAAAATTGTAAGAAAAAACACGTTTGACAGGGGAACACAGATGTCTTATGACGAGTAGTTATTAATTACCAACTCAAATAGGTTACACACCACATTTTTGTTGGGGATTTTGTGTTTACAAGGGTCACAAAGAAAATTGCAAATGAAGTTAACAGAAAAATCTTCGAGGCGTGAATGGGATCATTTTCCCAAAAATATAATTTTGGCCCTATACTACAACCGGGTATTACGAAAATTTACTCAGGAGATACAACCAAGAACAATTGCAATCACAAGTAGGATGATTACAATACAATGTAAATA